GTGTTGAACAAAATGGCTATTTTGAACAAAATGGCTATTTATTTTTAAAATTGATCCTTTCCAGTTGTCTAATCAGTTTCTTGATGTTAAGGTGACATTCATCAAGGAAGGCACCATAGATTTTGTTAACCCAAGTACTTTCGATCTTGTCCGCGATCATCTTCAGGGGTAAATTATAAAGAGAAATTGTAACTGCGATAAAATTCACATTCCGTTGTGATAGTGATTTTTAAAAACATGCACGAACGCGCTCTGTAATTATTTTGAAAATTTGAATTTATCCATTGTAACTATAAATCTTTATTTACATAATTCAGACAATTGTTCTCATCTTGCCATATTTATCCTAACGTTTTCGGCCGTTGTACGCTCCAGCCTCCTTGAGGACATATGGCATAGTAGATAAAGGTGTTATTTAGATCCAGTGACAGGACCCAAAGTGGGTGAATTCAATACCTGGTTAAATCAGTGGAGAACTTGGAGAGGGGAATTAACAGGAGATAACTGACATCCATCAAACATGGCACGTGGAACTAGAACAGTCTACCCCAGTGAGCTAAATAAAGGGTTCAGTTCGACATTCCAACCACCTGAAGAAGGACGGACCGTAAATCGGCCGAATCGTTGAGATAAATATGGCAACAAAGATGAGGACAATAGTCCGAATAATGTAAATAAGGTACATAATACCTCATCTCAGAAATATAGACAGATACTGAAGGGCCGAAACGTTGTAATAAATATGGCGACCAAGATGAGAACAATAATCCGAATAATGTAAGTAGTGTACATAATACCTCATCCCAGAAATATAGACAGATACTGAAAGACCGAAACGTTGTAATAAACATGTCGACAAAGATGAGTACAATAATCCAAATAATGTCAATAGTGTACATAATACCTCATTTCAGAAATATAGACAGATATAAAATCTTTTCCAAAACAAGATTCCCAATAGCCGTCGTAGATGTAGAATTTTTTGCATAACAATCATTTCAATATGAACGAAAAGGATCAGTATGAACATAGTCACAATATGTCTATATTATTCAATGAAACATGCTTGAATGAAGATATGCTGCACACACACACACACACACACACACACACACACACACACACATATATATATATATATATATATATATAAATTCTCCGTTTAATAAGCTAGGAGAATAAATCATCAAAGTGCGATGAACCAGGGTAGAAATTAAACCAATTCTGCGGGCCTTAGGAACAAAATAGTTCCCGCTTTTGTACAAGCCTGTAAAAGTGGGTTAACGAAAGATTCTGGTGACAAAAACACTAGCTTTACGTCCTATCAGAACATCTAGAAAGGGTAAAATACTATTGCTCTCAACTCAACTATTGCATGGGGAGAATTGAGTTCCGCAAAAAGGTCAGTGGCGTCTCCAGCAGAATCAAAAATAGAAAAGGTGTCATTAACGTACCGCATATAAACGCAGGGTTTACGGAACTTATCAAACAAAATTCCCCCATGAAAACGTAAGAAAATATTGGCCAGTACGGGACCCAAAGGACTACCCATTGCAACACCGTCTGTCTGGACATAAGATTGTTGAAACTAGACTCAACACCTTCAGTCGTTAGACGCATACATTCCAGGAACAAGTTTTCCGGAATGCTTGTCGAGCCCAAATTACCTCTATAAAGTGCATCAGTACATATATTAATGGTCTCGTGAAGTGGCATATTGGTATACAGGCTGACGATGTCAAAAGACACCATCTGTTTATTTTCCGAATCAGTTTCCAATAAAATATGAAAACTGAAAAGAGTCAGAGGTATGTGCTGAAAAAAAAAATCAGATATTGGATGGAGCAGATTAGCTAACCATTTCGCCAACTCATGCTGCAAGGATCCTACCATAGATAAAATGGTACAACAGTCTTAGGAACCTTTGGTAGTCTATATATTCTAGGCCGTTGAGAAGTGAGAGGTTTAATCCTATCATAAACAACCTTGGAGACAAGGTTGTTCTTGTACACTGAAAGCTTTACGAGTCTTATCACACGTACTAGCAGGACCGGTCCTCTTAAACGTGCAGGAATCATTGAAAATAATAGCCAGCTTATCAATATAAGCCTGCCTGTTTAAGATGACAACGCCAGGAGCCTTATCAGGCTTAGTTATGTACACGCCATTTCTTGACTTCAAAGATTTTATGGTCTGAAAATGGATGCTTTGCTATGCAAGAAAATCCTGCTTAGCAGTGAAGGAAGCTTATTCATTAGACAATTCAAGTAGTCTGGCTTTAATCACAGAATCTTTATCAGAAGAGGAAGGAACATGTTGACTTAATATATATTTTTTCTTCCTGCTGTTACAGTGTAAACATAGCCGCTTCACTAGCAGTGTGCACCAAGGAGGAACAAAGAGCAGTGATCCGATTTATCTGGTCGGAAAGTGCGTCAGGGGTGGAAATTTATCAGAGGATTTTAACTTTATACGGTTACAACTTCACCTCTTTTCACGTTAATGCACTGGAGGCCTTTTTTTCTTTTTCTTTTTTTACAATGATGTTCACTCTATACAAGGCCCTGGGGACACTCGAGGTAGAAGGTAAGAAGCACAGTTTATGCGTATATGTAGAGAAGATAACGCTTAACTATAGACATGAAGAGGTTAAGATTGTAGTGATCGGTGACTCTTGGGAGTCGGTTTCACAAAGCAGCGGTTCGTGAGGGTAAGCTTTTCGAGTGGAACTTACATTTCACTCATGGAATACGAATAGAATGAAGGTAGTTCGCTAAAATGGGCGTCGCATGGCGGGTCTTAGACGTGAAGATTAGAACTGGTGGAACTAAGGAATGTAATTCGCCTGAGATCTTTCAATGGAAATAGCGATAGAGCAGCGAGGAACTCGCGGTGTTTCGTTTGTGAGAAAGGGTTTGTAAGGTGGAAAGTAATCTGTCACCCACAAGGACGCGGAGACGCTTTTGGAATCTCTCGTGACTGGAAAGTAAAGACTGGGTAGCTCCCTCCCAAATATGACAGCAGTATTTGATTTTCGGCCTGATCTAGCTCTAATAAAGATAGAGGATAGCATGAGGAGTCAGGTGCTTACTGGAGCGGTAAAGGGAACCGATCAGTTTTTACTTGCATCTTTATCGCTGGAGTACGAGTTCCACTTGAGGTCTCGGCTGTTTAAGTCCCAATAAGCGCTCAAGGCACGGACACTTTGAGGGAACAGACATTTGTCGTGATTGGTGTTAGTTTGAGGCCTGATCGACGATGATGGAATGAAAGTAGTTTGATTTTCGAGACATTGAACGTAAACAGCTAAAGGAACTGTTACAAAGTGGCGCATTCTATGTAATATTGTAGAAGTTAGTTTTTCTTTTATGGTCCACTAAGTAATAGCTGCTAATAGTAACATTTTTTATATCAAAATTGTGGTCAGTTTCTTTACTGTGAGCAAACTAATACATTTGTTTTGTAAAATGTCTCTTGAGGTTTCTCCTATGTATATTTTGTGACAATTATTACTAGCGATCGAGTAAATTTCTCCTTAAAGTTTTACCATAATTGTTTTGTATTGACTAAGTTTGATTTTATAGTTTTAGTTTGCAGTAGCAACACATTTTATGTTGAGTTTGGTTTTCAGTTGTTGTTGTGACAGAGTTCAGTAGAAAAATATATTTTCTGATACATTGGCTTTGTCAAAGAGCCGTTTTTTTATTTTGGAATATTTTATGAGCTTTTTGTTTCGCATTGAATAATTAGAGTACGGAAAAAGCCTGAAAGTGTTTTCAATGTATAAAAATGCAACTCTGATCAAAGGAGAAAAAAATCACTTAGACGAAGATGTCCAAGGAGTGTCTTGATCGCAAGGTCATTTATAGTAAATTTGGGCACTAGCTGACCATTCCTGGCAGATCTTTTATTATCACAGAGTGGGAAATCGAATAAAAAACGTGATTGAAACAAAAAGAAAAGGAATCTAAATGAAATCAGTTAGATTATATACAGAAAGAAAAATTAAAATTAAAAATTCCCGGCATCCTTCGCTCGTGCGCATGTGTAGTCACACCAGCATAAATTTAGTCCAATGAAGGCCTAAAGGACGAAATGTGTCATACGAAAACTTTTTCCACTTTATTTACATTATTCGGACTATTGTCCTCATCTCTGTCGCCATATTTATCACAACGTTTCGGCCGTTGTACGCCCCGGCCTTCTTCGGGTGGTTGGAATTTCGAACTGAACCCTTTATTTCGCTCACTGGGGTAGACTGTTCTAGTTCCACGTGCCATGTATAATGGATGTGAGTTATCAGTTATCTCCTGTTAATTTTCCTCTGAAAGTTCTCCACTGACTTAACCGGGTATTGAACTCACACTCTTTGGTTCCTGTCACTGGATCTAACCAACGCCTTTATCCACTGTGCCATTAGGACACATGGCACAGTCCCCTCATTCTCTTTTTTGTCCATATTTTTTTGTCCATATTGTTCCATTTTTATATATATATATATATATATATATATATATATATATATATATATATATATATATATATAAGGCATGCTCAGAGCGATATTTGACACCAGATACAGTCCTCACAACAAAGCGGGGAACTTTTATCCTTTCTTGTTAATTTCACGACGTAGGCTTTTAAACACGGAATTTTTTTTAAAAAGTCAAAGAAAAATTTATTTTTCATTTCAATTCCTCGAAGGCCTTGAAATAAAAATATAAAACCATCTTCACATCTATTCTCCCTTCATCACCCTTTGCTGATGCATGTTTTAAATTCAGTTTTCTTTCTATACTTCTATTTAAATTTCTTTCTCTCTTTTTTTTTGCTTACCTGATGTCGCCCGACGCCTCTTTCTTCTTCCACCGCCATTTCTCTTGCCCCTAAAGTCCTAAGCATTCTGCTACCTTCATTTCCACACCAACCACCAACCTAATGTTCTTTCTTCTATCTTCATCCCAATTCCTTTGCTATCTTATTCCTCACCCACCTCCATCATGACGCCTAGAAGATTCCCGCCCGCCCGCCTTTCGTCCTAGGCTGCAATCGTTCTTGTCAATAACATCTCAATGCTAATGTCACCCAGTGCTTTGTTCAACCTTTTTTCCTTCCTTGACTTTTATAGCAATTTATTTTCCTTGACTTTTAAAGCAATTTATTTATTTTTTGAAATTTTTCAAAAAATTAAAATAGCTTCTCTTACTCCTCCTACCATCTGCCTTTCTTTCGTTTTCTTCCTTTCTGTTAATTTCTTCGTTTCTTTATAGCTCTTTCTTTCTTTCTTTCTTTCTTCCTTCCTTCCTTCCTTCCTTTCTTTCTTTCTTTCTTTCTTTCTTTCTTTCTTTCTTTCTTTCTTTCTTTTCTGTTTCCTCCTCACTGATCGATGTCTGTACATCATTTTCCTTCTCTTTCTCCTCATACTACCCCCTTTCCTTTCTTCCTGACACACCACTCTGTTTGATATCTGTACATCATTCGCTTCCTCCGTGTCCTCATACTACTCCCTTTGCTTTCTTCCTGCTCCCTCCTCTCTGTTTGATATCTGTACATCATTCGCTTCCTTTTTGTCCTCATACTACTCCCATTCCTTTCTTTCTGATCCCTCCTCTCTGTTTGATATCTGAACATCATTTGCTTCCCCCTTCTCCTCATACTACTCCCTTTCCTTTCTTCCTACTCCCTCCTCTCTGTTTGATATCTGTACATCATTCGCTTCCTCCTTGTCCTCATACTAATCCCTTTGCTTTCTTCCTACTACCTCCTCTCTGTTTGATACCTGTACATCATTTTCTTCCTCCTTGTCCTCATACTACTCCCTTTACTTTCTTTCTTCTCCTTCCTCTCTGTTTGATATCTGTACATCATTCTCTTCCTCCTTGTCCTCATACTATTCCCTTTGCTATCTTTATTCTTCCTCCTCTCTGTTTGATATCTGTACATCATTCTCTTCCTCCTTGTCCTCATACTATTCCCTTTGCTATCTTTATTCTTCCTCCTCTCTGTTTGATATCTGTACATCATTCTCTTCCTCCTTGTCCTCATACTACTCCATTTATTTTCTTCCTGCTCCTTCCTCTCTGTTTGATATCTGTACATCATTTGCTTCCTCCCTGTCCTCATACTACTCCCTTTGCTTTCTTCCTACTCCCTCCTCTCTGTTTGATATCTGTACATCATTTGCATCCTCCTTCTCCTCATACTACTCCCTTTTCTTCCTCCTCTCTGTTTGATTCCTGTACATCTGTTTGATATCTGTACTACTCCATTTTCTTTCTTCCTGCTCATTCCTCCTTTGATCCTCATACCATTCTTCCTTTTTGTCCTCATACTTCTTCCTTTTTTTCTTCCTGCTCCCTCCTCTCTGTTTGATATCTGAACATCATTTGCTTCCTCCCTGTCCTCATACTACTCCCTTTCCTTTCTTTCTTCTTCCACCTCTCTGTTTGATATCTGAACCTCATTCGCTTCCTCCTTGTCCATCATACTACTCCCTTTTTTCTTCATGCTCCCTCCTCTCCGTTTGATATCTGTACATCATTCGCTTCCTACTTGTCCTCGTACTACTCCCTTTGCTTTCTTCCTGCTCCTTCCTCTCTGTTTGATATCTCTACATCATTCGCTTCCTCCTTGTCCTCATACTATTCCCTTTTCTTTCTTTCTTCTCCCTCCTCGCTGTTTGATATGTATACAAAATACTCCTATTTTTCCTCCTCTTACTACACCCCTCCTACTTGCTATGTCTAATTTTTTTTTTTCTTTTCTCTCACTGATATTTCTCCCTCCTATCATCTGTTTTCCTCAAAAAAGTTTTCTTTTTATCATCTTTTCCTTTCACTCTTTCTCCTCGGTATATATATATATATATATATATATATATATATATATATATATATATATATATATATATATGTATATATATTCTTTCATTTCTTCCGTATTTTTCGTCGTCTTCACTCATTCGTTTTTGGTTTTGATTTTTGAGATATTTTTTTCAAATTTCTTTTCCCTTTTTTTTTCTCTTTCCTTCACACTTCGTTGTTGAAATATTGTTTTCCCTTTAACTCCGTTTTTTTTTTTTAATATTCTCTCGTTATTGTTTTCTTTATCTTTTTATCTCTCTTTCTCTCGGAGGATTTTCATTCATTCATTCATTCATTCGATATATTTTTCTTTAACCTACACAATCCATTTAATCATTTAATCTTTTGTTTTTTTTTTATTTCGCTCCTTTCTTTCTTTCTTTCTTTCCATTTGCTTCAATTTATATTTATTAATTTTCCCTCTTTTTTCCTTTTTCTATCTATTTATGGAGCTTTTTGTTTGTTTGTTTATCTTTCTTTGTTTCTTTCCTTCGTTTTTTCGTTTTTCTTTCTTTCTTTCTTTCTTTCTTTCTTTCTTTCTTTCTTTCTTTCCATTTGCTTCATTCTATATTTATTAATTTTCCCTCTTCCGTCTTTTTCTATCTTTTTACCGAACTTTTTGTGTTTGTTTTTTGTTTATCTTTCTTTCTTTCTTTCTTTCTTTCTTTCTTTCTTTCTTTCTTTCTTTTTCCTCTATCCACCCCTTTCTTTCAAACAACTTATCCCTTTTTTCTCTATCCCTTTCTTTCTTTCTTTCTTTCTTTCTTTCTTTCTTTCTTTCTTTCTTTCTCATTCTATTTTCTTCTTTCTACATTTCCTTTTTTCTATCTTCTTTATTGTTCTTTTACTTTCTTTTTCTCGTTTTCCTTCCTTCCTTCCTTCCTTCCTTCCTTCCTCCTTTTTTCCTTTTTCTATCTTTTTTATGGACCTTTTTTTGTTTGTTTATCATTCTTTGTTTCTTTCCTTCTTTTTTCGTTTTTTCCTTCCTTCTTTCTTTCTTTCTTTCTTTCTTCTCTTCTTTCTTTCGTTTGCTTTTTTTCACTTTCTTCTTTTTTGTCTCTTTTTCTTTCTTCTTTCCACTCCTTTTTGAGATTTCGTTTTTTCAATTTTTTGTTCTTTATCGTCTTCTTTCTTTCTTACTTTTTCTTTCTTTTTCATCCTATTTTCTTCTTTCTTACTTTTTCTTTCTTTCTTTTTACTATCTCCTTTATTGTTCTTTTACTTTCTTTTTCTCGTTTTCCTGCTTTCTTTCTTTTTGTCTTTCTTTTTTCTTCCATCTTTATTCGAACTTCTTTCTCGCCTTTTGCCTTTCTTTCTCTTTCTCTTTCTTTTCTCTTTTTCATTTTCTCTTTCTTTTTTTGATTCAATTATTTCTCTCCGTGTCCAATCTTTCAATTTTCCTCCATTTCCAAGCCACTTCTAATATTAAAAGGGACGTTTCTAGTTTGCTGCCATTCATTTTTTCTTTACTATATTTAAACGACAAATGAAGAATTTAATACACTGAAATGTCACTCGTCGAACCCCACCCCCTCCCCGCTTTCTCGAGAGATCTAATTACATCATCTTATCTATCTGGCGTCATTTTTTTTAACTACCCTCATCTCTGCCCCTTCACCTCTTTCACTGCTGCTTGCTACTCGACCACACAACTCCTGACTGCACACTGGCCCGTCTTTTCATGCTAGCTCTTCGTGAAAACTGGTTCTCTTAATATCAGTTTGTCGATAACACTCTACGTTACCCTTGAACGCAATACAAGGAAACTTCCAAAGAAAATGGTGAGACTGATCAGTGAGAAGAAAATCTCAATTTAAAATTCAAAATTTTGAAAAGAAGAAAAATAGTCACTTTCCTTCTTTCAATTCATTCATCCATAAATTTATTCGTTATCTTTCAGCTTTTATTTTTCTTTCTTTTTTTACTTTCTCGTCATACGAAAGATATTCATTTTTTAATAGGCGACGTATTTTTTTCTTATTTTCAGTCATCAATCCACTCATTCTTTCTTTCTTTATTTCTTTCTTTCTTTCTTTTAGTATGCAACTTTATTCTTTGTTTACATATGGCATTCTTTCTTTTTCCTATACGACGTATTTCTTTCTTTCTTTCTTTCTTTCTTTCTTTCTTTCTTTCTTTTTTTCATATGCGACGCAATTATTTCTTCTTTCTTTCTTTTCATATGAGAAGCATAATTTTTCTTTCTTTCTTTCTTTCTTTCTTTCTTTCTTTTAATATGCAACTCCATTCTTTCTTTCCATATGACATTGTTTCTTTTTTCATATACGACGTATTTCTTTCTTTCTTTCTTTTCATATGCGACACAATTCTTTCTTCTTTCTTTTCTTTCATATGAGAAGCATACTTTTTCTTTCTTTCTTTCTTTCATTCTTTCTTTCTTTTTTTTTCTCATCGAATTCTTTCACAACGTTCATTTTGAGCTTAGATATATTGATCTTTACATTCTATCAATGTTCTCCCTTCCTTCTCTCTCAATTTGCTTACGCTTTCCCCCCCACTACTGATTCATCATCATCATCATCATCATCATCATCATCATCATCATCATCATCATCATCATCATCGCATGCATAACATTTGAAACTATTCCCCCCTCCCATTTCCATCTCCCTTCATTCTCCCTCTTCGTTATTTAAACAATCTCGTAATGAGCTAGATTAGGCCCGACCCGAGGCGAGGTGGTTTCAGTCTCGATTCAGGTTCAAAGGTCACCTGACTGCAGTCGTCTACTACCGGAGGCTATGGGAGGGAAACACGTTAATCACGTCATCTTTGAGATTTCAGTCACACAGGGCCATGGGGGTGGGTGCGTGGTGCCCACGGAATAAGGGCCAGGAGTAACCACTCCCAATGCTAGACCAACACCCATAAAATTAATAGAATACTTGTTTTTTGTTGCATCTTCAGGAGTCACACCTGCTTAATGTCATGAAAAGGAAAGGTAATGCTGTACACATGCACACACATGTATATATATAGATGTACAGCATTACCTTTTTATTTATATATATATATATATATATATATATATATATATATATATATATATATATAGATAGATAGATAGATAGATAGATAGATAATATTAGTGGTAAATATACACATACATATGCAATCATATATCTAAAATATATAAATATATATACATGCATATATATATATGTATAAAAATAATTCCAAGAGGATAGAATCCAGGTAGAACTCAATGTCCAGGACAGAGTAAGGATATAATAAAAAGGCTTAAACACTAATATTCCATCGTCATAATTTATTCCATTGGAATCGTAAATATGATCTAATTCATCAGACCTACAAATTCAAAAAGAAAAAAGAAAAAAGAACTCCGGGAATAAAAAAATAAATTTTGTCAGAGTGTATGTATACATACACTCTCACTAACTTTGTAGGTCTGAGGAATTGGATCGTATTTAGGATTTCAATGGAATAAATTATGACCATGGAATATTAGTGTTTAAGCCTTTTTATTATATATATATATATATATATATATGGACATACTACAAAACTAGCATATACATAAAACATTTCATATTCGATCGCGTTTATGCATAGTTCTGTCTGGATTGCTATCTGGTTGCGTTTTTTTTATTAGAAACATTCTGCTCATATCTCATAGAGGAGAGATAATTCGGCTTTTATTGCCCATTATTTTTCTCGTAGCTTTTAGATTACCGTATCTCTTGACGACACTTCTTCTTCTTCTTCTTCTTCTTCTTCTTCTATTGGCCCTGTACCTTCAGGACGTGGGTGATCATGGCTCTCCACAAGTTTCTATCCCGTGTAGCCTTTAACAGCATTTGCCCTTTCCTAATCATTTAGAACCCACTCGTTCCACGATCCTTTTACACATTCGTCAGGTAGTTGAACTGTTGTCTTCCTCCTATCTCTCTTACCTGTGATATGCCATATGAGTGTTAAGTTTTCCAAACCCTCCTTCCTCTTTATGTGTCTAAGAAATTTCAGCTGTCTCTTTATGCTTTTGAGTATAAATGTTCTTTTTGTTACCATTTTCCTCGTTGCTTACTCGCTCCGTTCATGGAATTCTCAGTATCCTTCTGTAGAACCACATTACCGTCTGAAGGGAGATTGTCCAGCATTCACTGCTATATAAGGTTATTGATATCACATAACAGTTCATCACAATTTTCTTTAGTATGCGGAATCATTACTTGCTAACTCTAGTCGAGAATGTTGCCATATGTTTCTCAAAGTGATGTTTCCCGCCTACGTGACGTGAGTCCCACCTTTCTTTTCTCCATGTACTTTCATTGCAGTTGTGATGATGAGCACTTTTTCTTAGTGTCTCGACTGCAGTTTTTTAAACGTGAACAATAGCTTAGCGCATTAAAGTCTGGTTTCATGAATGTGTTGATATAGTAGTTGAATCGGACACAGTGAAATATTCAGCCCCCCCCCCACAAGGGTTGCATGTGGCACAAGGCCCGGTTTAACGTGGGTTCTGCGAGCCCGTAGGCTCGGCCAAAAAATCCCCGTAGAACCCGCATAAACGGGATCGGTTCGGTCAACGTCCACGAACGAGACTCTGCCCTTCGGCATAGCCTCGTCCGGGTTCCTCTCTGCTCAGAGGCAGAGAGTTCGACCTGCCAGCTGAAAATATTTCAGTTACAGTGGACACGGAGCGAACAATAACTGATGAGATTTAGTTTCCACTGGGTCCGTTCCAGTGATTAGTCTCGCAGTTACTCTATCACTAAATTCACGAATCAACGCAATTCCTGAAGAAGATGGGGATTATATATATATATATATATATATATATATATATATATATATATATATATATATATATATATGTGTGTGTGTGTGTGTGTGTGTGTGTGTGTGTGAAAAGTGTATATAAATATAAATAAATATATATATATGTATAATTATTTATATATTATATGCGCGGTACTTATTAGAAAGCGCTCAATATCAGAGATAGAGCTAACATATATATATATTTATTTATATTTATATACACTTTTCACATAACAAACTCACATCTATCCAACCAAATATATATATATATATATATATATATATATATATATATATATATATATTGATATAGTGGAACACACCTATTCTATAGTTAATAGAGCCTCCCACCTATAATAAGTAGGAGTAGTAAGAGTAATGAGGGAGTCGCTCAGCGAGTTGGTCAGTCAGTCGATGCCGGACGACCGTTAGTCGGATACTAAAATATCAGCGACCCCAACTAGATTACTCTGCGTCATTACCTATTATAAGTATTATTTCTACGTCAAACCTATTTTAGGACCGACTTAGTACAAATACAAGCCTCCACTGTGAAACCACTCCATAACACACACACACACACACACACACACACACACACACACATATATATATATATATATATATATATATATATATATATATATATATATACCCAAGTATAGGATTGGTGTATACGGAATAAATTTCAATAATCAAAAATACTATTCTTAAAAGAGTGCTCAATACAAAGTAGAGCAAACATAATTTATTCGAAAATTATAACATATGTTATAAAGTCACTACAAAAATAGCCATTTTGTTTCAACACTTCTGCTGTCTTATCAAGTGATGGTGTTGAATCACGATCACTTGATAAGACACCAGAAGTGTTGAAACAAAATGGCTATTTTTGTAGTGACTTCATAACATGTTGATTGAACACCATCACTACTAAATAAAACGGTATCAACGAAAAGGATCATTTCCTTTTGTTATTCGTTTTGTTAATGGTGGCAGCTTGGATTCTAAGAGGCAGTGGCAGGAATGACGTCACAGGAACGCATATCGCATTTGGCTCAGCGTCCCTCCGCGTGTGGTTTTAGTTGGTCCCTAACCTGGGTGTGGAAGGTATATCAACGCTTCGGAAATCTTGCAAGTCCTTCTTGGACTTTTATTCAAAACTCAAATAAAGACTAACCCATCACTGTTAGGATTCCTAAAGCCCACAAGACACTCCGGCCAATCGGTGACCATTCTGGCCCTGGTCTTTGCATTTTGTAACAATTCCACTTCACTCGCAGTAGCCCCATGCGTCTTAGTGGCATTGTTGCCTTGCCTGGGGTGAAATGATTAAAAAAAAATGAAGGCTAGATTCGTACTGTGTTAGGGCAATATTATGAGAATAGTTGTAGCTGATGCCTAACACACAAATCGATATCTGATCATTATCGACTGGATTGACATGGAGAAGGACTAATTACCATAGGTTAAAAACACCAATGATAATGTATGCCGAATCATCCGACAGATGTACTTCACGAAATATATGCAATCCAGTTTGACTTTTAAATGTTTCCCCTATCAACCATTTGTAAACAGTGCAATCTCGTGTGGAGCGTTTTGTGTAAAATATCGTTACACTCATACGTGAAGTAACTGGACGCCATCTTGGCATTTGATACTCCGACCAGATCTGATTTATTGCAATAGTACTACTACTAAAATGAATAATGCATGCATTCACATATAATCGTGTCTATATATCAGAAATATAATCTGTGTTTAACAAAAAACAAAAGGAAGAAAAATGCTTTGCGGACTTACGGAATAATATATGGGAATTGTCACCGCCATTTTGTGTTTTAACTTTCTGATCCGATCGGTAAATATCACTGGCGCGAAAATCGATAACAAAATACTCATGCATGATGTATTAAGTATTACAATATAAACATGTAAAAGGTCATCGAGTGGTCAGTCATGTCATCAAATATAATAAAGGATTCCAAGTAAAAGAGCGGCAAATTTATTATCATTGTTTTATCTTTCAGGAATAATTGACCTTAAATAACCTCGAATAAATTACTTGAATAATCAATCGACTCTCGCATTATTACTCAAATCTGATTGGTTCTTTTATGATTGATTAATTGCAGCTCGATCTTCTGATTCGTCATTTAAATGTTATTTGCAGACAACTTTCGTCTTTCAGTCTGCCCTTCTCGTATAGCTAAGGAGCTCACTGATTTTGAGCGTTAAGTTATCGTATTTTCAAAGAAGAAAATCCGATGTGGGGATTGACGAAATGTGTAGAAATTCTTCTTGAATTCTTAAGTCACATCAGTCGTCACCATTTTTCAACGATTGTCTCACATCTTTCTGGATTTACTGCTTTTTGTGTGTATTTTTCATCGCGCTCACGCCGTTAACGAATGTGACACAAGGTCAAG